TTTTTTTTTTTTTTTGTATGAAATATGGGAAGGAAAGGGCATTTTTGGAAACATTTTCTCCAAGTGTGTGGCAACCGTGGTAGGTATACTTTTTTCACTGGGTGTACTTTGCATTTTATGTGCCCTGGTATGCACAAGTGAGTACTTCATAGAATTGTTTACGATTTGTCAACAGAAAAGCTTAGCGTTATTATGCCAGCTGTTTAGTGTCCCTTAAGCAACAGACCCATCTACGTACTGTATATCTCTTTTCGCACGCAGATTTGCACAGCCACAGTTTTCCTTAAAATGTCCGCAACGCGACGATTTCACAAAGTGCTCGTGTCTCATCCAGGTGTGCCCAAGGCGGCGCTGGACCTCCTTCAGCAGCGCGGTTGTGAGACGATAGTTTGCGAGAGTGTTCCGCCATCGCGCGCAGAAATATTACACAAAGTGCCTGGAGTGGATGCCATTTTTTGGGCGCACTACCAACCGCTCAATGGCGAAATACTCGATGCTGCCGGTCAGCAGTTGAAGGCGGTCTCCACCATGTCCTCGGGCATTGACTATGTCGACTTGCCAGAGTTCAAGCGTCGCCAAATGCCGTTGGGGCACACGCCAGGCATTGTCAAGAATTCAGTTGCCGATTTAGCGGTGGGTTTGATGGTGGCCGCAGGGCGACATTTCCACGCTGGACGTCAGGAGATTGAGAAGTGAGTATTCAGATTGACAAATATGATGACTGCCATGCAATATTTAGAGGTGACACAAGCAAATTTTAATGTGCTATCTCAAGTGCTGCCAGCTGATTTAACAGCACCGTTAACATTAAGCTATCGAATGGAGCTTTTAAAGCTTGCACTAGAATTGCCAACTGGGAAAGTTCGCTGTGCTGTTAAATAATTTTTCTCACTCGCTTTTATTTCATCTCTGCCTAAGTTCTCTTTGGCGCACGGAGCGTATCGACTGGATGATGGGACAAGAGGTGCGCGGTTCTGTGGTAGGCTTTCTTGGCTTTGGTGGTATTGGTCAGGCTATAGCGAAGCGCTTGCAAGGTTGGGAGGCAGCGAAAATCATATACCATACACGCACGCCGCGCGAAAATCCATTTGGCGCAATTCACGTTCCCTTCGAGCAGCTACTGCGGGAAAGCGATTTCTTGGTGGTCGCTTGTCCGTTAACGGCCGAGACGCGCGGCAAATTTAATGCGGGGGCATTCAAACAAATGAAGACGAACTGTGTGTTTGTAAATGTGGGCAGGGGAGGTGGGTATTTGAATGAAAATCTAACTCGTATAATATTTTTTGGGAAATTATTAATTTCGCAATTTTTTTTTTCATATTTTGCCGTATACATGTTTATGAAACTTTATTTATAAATTTTGTCGTAGGCATTGTGGATCAACCTGCGCTCGTCAATGCTTTGAAAACTGGTGAAATTGCCGCTGCGGGCTTGGATGTAATGACACCTGAACCACTTCCGGCAGATGACCCTCTTCTGAAATTACCAAATTGTGGTAAGAAACAAAAATATGAATAGATATTGACCCCAAAGTAGTTAATCCAGATAAAAACTTTCTAGTCGCTCAAGAAAGCCTGTCGTTTATAAGTAAAGCATTTTCAAAACCATTTCAATTGATACCCATATTGTAATATATAATTCATTAAACTTATTAAATAATTTTATTACAATTTTTAATAGGTGGCAACCCGTTTCAAAAACAAAAAACTTTATTGCACATCTATAGGCCAAGCACTGTCATTTGGCACCTCACTTTTGAAAATAGAACAAACTATATACATTTCCAACAATAACAATTTTTTTAAATTCGGTCAGGAATTTTTTGAAATATAGCCATTTTAAATTTTCGAAAATTCCCCCTGCACCCCTCCATATCACCGAAAATGTAAGTTTGCACCAAAAAATTGTTATACCAGTAAAATCAGGAAAAACAGGCGGACCACGCCCACCTTTTCGTTTTGTTCTAGTAGGTGTCACACATTGAGCTGCCTAGGTACTCACATCAATTAGATTTGCATTTCTTTAAGTCATCTTGAACTTTTATTCCGTTTCTAATTTGTTTACTTTTCTTCAATATTTTTGCAGTTGTAATACCCCATTTGGGCACGCAGACGATGCAAACGACAATTGAAATGGGCTTAACAGCTGCTAATAATATACTCAACGCACTGGATGGTAAACCGATGATTTGTCCAGCGTATTAAGTGCCATTTGATGTTAACAAAAATATTTTGCATTTGTTGTTATTATAGAAAATACGAAGTAATATATGACATTAAAAAACTTGGTTACTTTATTCGCTTTTGTCGTGATTTTCCTTCACTTTGAAAGGCAGAAATACCGCATCCCATTCATCGCGTTGCAACGCCTTCAAGTATTTCCGTCTCTGCTCCAACACCTTCTCCAACAGTTCAGGTTCATGCTTCTGCGCCACCTCCAGCGCTCGATGCCAATTGTGCATACGCAGACAGAGTGCAACAGCTTCAGTGAATTTCTTGTTGTGCAATAAAATCGTCTCTGCCTCGATCAGACGTCCCAGCATTAGGGAATTCTCCGCCATTTGTTCAGGGCTGGCTGGTGACAATTCCTAAAGATAAAAACTCGCATGAGTGTGTAAAAAGCTTGACACCAAAACACTGGCAATCAAATCTCGCTACTCACCTTAATGTACTGCAAGTAACTGACTTTGTCGATTTGCAATGCCGCCGAGTAGGCCTCCTCGCTGATCTGCAGCTGATTTTTGCGCGTTGCGATCGCTGCGAGTGTAGCCCAGAGGTTGCCATTCTGAGCGAGGCGACAGATCTTCAAAGCCTGCTGCCACTGTCCCTCCATCAGCGTGCGGTGCAAGATTTCGCAATAGATATTCACGTTGACGGGCAGCAGAGCGCCAGCGCAACGGAATGTTACAATGGCATCCTCAAAGGTCTCCAGAGTGATGCTCTTGCCGAATTCACTGAAACGGATAGTTAACTACGAATTGCCTTATTTATTTGACTTGTGCGAGTACTCACGTGGCATCCACAGTCACAGTTGTTAGCGCAATTAGCGTCGGATCGGCGGCTCCCTCGCCGGGGCAGTACCAAATGCTGTAGCAAGTGTCGTGAACGCCCACCAAAATATTCGTTTCACTGGCCCACATAACGGTTGTTACCTGTGTGCCGATCTTGTAAACTTCGCCACAATTCGAAGTGCGTCCGCTGCTGCTGCGATCTGTGTTGCCGCTACCACCACCGCCTCCACCACCGGTGCCGCTACCCACAGCTGCCACAGCATTGAAACCACCGCCGCCGCCGCCGCCACCCCCACCACTACCGCCATTTAAATTACGCGTCTCAGTGATGTACAACTCACGATTGTTATCGATTAGCACGACATACTGATCGTCGAGTGTACCTGCACGACATGCCGAGATCTCGGAAATCTGAGTTTTTGCACGCAGCGAGTGCGGCTCGTATTGACGTGAGGCGCCCGGTGTAAGATCGAAGATATGAATCACTAGGAAGAAGCGAATAGAAGCGTGGCAAATTAAGTTGATCAATATGCAATTAACTTACCTGTGTTGTCCGCATTATCTCGTACAGCCAGCACGTCGAGTCCCAGGGAGACTGCCCGCCAAGTAAGTAGCGGTATTTGCGCTTGCATACCTGGATAACGTGGATTCAAATGCAGGCGGCCATTGTAGGTGTAAACCCAAATTGAAGTGGCATCCAAGACCATGAAGAATCTTGTTAAGAAGAAGAAAACAAAACAAATTATGGTGAAATAAGTCAAATAAACTTTTGCCTGTTTCATCAAATCGAAATCAAAATAAGAAAAAACCAAGTTCTTAAGTTTGGAATCATTCTAGTTGAGTTGAAACGAGCTCTTATTTCGAGCCGTTCTAACACTGAGGAATTAACTCTCGTTCGGCTGTTAACTTAGACTTTTTGTACTGAAATTCGACAGTTGACTGCTACATCTGGGTTAACTCTCCACTGTCAAAACAACCTTAACCCTTGGCTGGAGACCCACAAAAAAAAAATGGACGGAAACATGCTTTGAAGTTCAGTTGGAGCTTTGAATTTTTTACTAATACGTTTTTGGGCAGCATTGTGCTCGCTTTGTCGGGAGGTGTCTCGATAGTCAATGACAGTGCGAATGAATCAGAACCTAAGCATAATCCGATTCTCTAGATTATTCTGCAGTAGAAAACTCCCTCAATTAGTTATTTACATTAAGATTTCTTTTTCCAACAATTTGAAGTAAAATGATTTGTGCGTAAACCTTTTATGGCAAATTCTTACTCACTTCTTGCCCACCTCAATTACGCGCACATCCGTTCTGCCATCAATAATGATCGGCGTATTGATATACTTTTCATTGTAGATATGCAATTGATTTGATGTGGCCACAATTAGATGACCATAGCCTAGGCCGAAGTTAATAATGCGCTCGGGAAAATCCAAAACATCACTGCTACTATTTGTGATATCCTGCAATAGGATGGTTTTACGGCCGGTCGTTGTAGCTTTCAGATTACGTGAGATCAACTGTCGATCGATGGTATATCCAACAACAAGATTGCCAGTCGAGGTGCCGCAGGCCACTTGAGTGCCATCAGAAGACCAGGACATGGTGTAGAAAGATCCCACGGTAGGTTCACTGAAGCGAGTGCAACTGTAAGCCCACTGTGGGTAAAAGGAAAGGAAAAATGCGAGTAGGATAGTACAGCTGGAGTTACTAAATAAGTATACATTTGTATTTACTACTCACACCCGCACTGGAACAAAGTTTTAACATATTGAACGAGCCGACCAAAAGCACATCTTTCTCAGAGTTAAAGCACACGGACGTGATTGCATACTCCTCCGCAGAGCTGGTGAACAAATTCGCACCTTGCGAATCCCAAATCTTAAAGCGAAAATCTTCACCACCCGAGGCAATGATGTTCGAGTGGGTAGACCAGCTGAGAGAAAGCACGAGACCATCATGAGCGCGCCACTAGCGATGGAGAGGAAAATGTTTTGAAAATTTTATTAACATATATTTGAGCTAGCAAAAAAAATTGGCATAGTATCTCGACGAAATATGAAACGTACCCTTGTCAGTTTACTATTCGCTGCCAGCGGTTTAATAGACATGTAAGAACCCTGAGAGAAAACAATTGAAGTAGAATTGGGCGCCCAGCGTGCGCAGCTAATTGGGTCATCACTTTGTATGACCGTGGAGCGCAGCATTCCTGATCGTGACCAGATCTTTATGACACCATCCTCGCCAGCTGTAAGCATTTCAGTGGAAAGAGTAATGAAGTAAATATAATGCCAACGTGCTTACCGGTTAGCAGCCCTGCACCATCGGGACTCCAACGTCCGGTGCTTATTGCTGCGCTATGTGCCGTAATATTGCGCTCCACTCGCGCGCTTTTATTCAAAATAATGAAACGGCCATCATTGCTGCAGATGAGTAGCGTATCGCTGCCCTTGCCACCACCACTGCTGCGTCCGCCCAACAGTAGCCAATGTAAGTCGGTCGGTATGAAATCGTCGGGTAGCTTGGCCACTTCGACCGATTCGCGTGTAGCGGCGCTCCATTTGTAAATCTGATGATCGTCACTTTTTATGGACAAAAAAAAAAACAAATTATTTTAATTGCGAGCAGCTAATTCTTGTCATAGTTTCTTCATCCAGCCACTTACCTCACAAAATAAATCTCCTCATTGCTACTCCAATCCGCGCAGCTCAGCGGTGAAATATTTGTTTTTCCATTGTTTCCCGCATCTTTTTGGCCACTTGAACTTCTTTGTGTTGCCGAATTTTGTAGACGATAATCGACATTATTGTTGTCGGATGTTCGCTTGCAAATATGAGTTTTTAAACGCATTTTGGAATTATTTCTGCAGAAGTATACGCCAACTTTTTATGGACAAAATTTTTCTGGTAGGTTTTTGGTTTGTTTGTCCTGCGGTGTTGCCGTGGATACTTAAATGTTGCAACAATTAGAAGTAAGAAAAACTACCCCTAGCGCTTGGACGTGGCCACCTGTTGAATTCATAGCAACCTGTGGGGTGGAAAAAACAAATGTGCTTCCATATATCGATGGTGCTCTGCAATGACGACACAGTTTGAAATTCAAAAAAAAAATAAATAAAAATAAAAATAAAACTTTACTACTGTTAAGCGTCTCATTCATTATGTCAGACTTCTGAAATTCAAAATTACCAATCCAATATGGCGACCAAATCCTACAATTTTCTCCTTTTCACCAAAATCCTTTATGTGAGGGGGTTTTCGAGGTGGCACATTTTTTGAACTCATAATGTGGGTCCAGTGTGAATTCTTGGATTCAGAGCAAAAAAAAATATTTGTTCAAAATAGTAGACCACATTTTTCCTATAAATTTTTTAGATGATTAGGGAAATCGTAGGTGCTTACAATAAAAACTTTTTCCTTTGGATTTGTACTTAAGTATTTATTAGAAAAGACACTAGCACAACTAGGCTAGGTACAAGTTTGAACAAAAAATGCAAATTTGCACTTTTCACCTATGTACTTGCATATCATTATTGCTCTTTCCTTTAAGTAGGGGCTATATTCTTCGGAAAGCACCTATTTAATAATATTTTGCTGCTTATTTTCAAATATCGAAAAGCACCGCAAAACACAAGTAGAAGTTTACAAGGAAAAAAGCCAATTAATTATTCAAAAAGTGCAAGAAAGTGTAGCATTATTCTCAGCCCACGGCCTCTAAATTAAACATTTTTATTGCCCACAAAGCTAGAAGACCAAAAAATTAAACCAATTTTTATATGTCGCTCTAATTAAAGTTAGAATTCATTTTGAATATTAATTTTATTTTATTTAGCATTCTACATGCTAGTTTTCTTTTTTGTTAATCACACAAATATTACCTTCACACTTAATTTCCATAAGTTTTTTTTTTTTTTTTGAAGTATCTTTATCATTCCAACTAACTACAAGAACGTTGACACGAAAAAAAAATTACCTGTTTTAGAAATGTCAACTTTAACAGCTGATATCTCAACGGGAAAACTATTTCAGAAAATGTGTGTGTAAATGTGCACTTTTTTTAGTCTGCAGAAATAGTTTAGTGAAAGGACAAAAAAAATTGATTTATCGATACTTTAAATTATTACTTTTGGCCAACAAATAGTAGCCGCCAGACCATAGTGCAGTGGCGAATAGACCGCTAAAAATTTCCGAAAACCGATTTTATAAAAAGTTCTACTTCAGATCGAAAGTTTTAAATGAGAACTAGTCGTGCATACCCCAAATTGTTTGTAAATTGTGCTGCGAACACTTGA